ACCGGCTCGCGGCCTACCTCCTCGAAGACCCTCTACAGCGGCAAGCACGCCATCGAGTACGAGGACATCGTGTCGGGCCGCGGCGTCCTGGCCGTCTACCAGTGGATCACCGCCGAGCACAAGGGTACAAACCACGGCAATCAACGTTTTCAATTTTCCCCCCCCCCAACCAACTCGTCATTGTTGCCGTTGCCGTTGTCGTCGTCGCCGTCGCGGTGTACAGAGGCTGCCAAGTATGAGTCGGCCGAGGAGATCAGCACGGCCGCCTTCCGCGAGGACCCGTGCCCCTTCGCCACCAAGGCGCTGCTCATCCACTACAGGTACAGACGCACACGCACGCACGCACGCACGAACACTTGACGGACCTTTTTCCTCATCCGCGAACGCGCAGGTTCCTGATGCGTGTGGCCAAGAACCTCTGCGTGGGGCTGCAGGCCAAGGGCATGTTCCTTGCCGGTGACAACCAGGTACGTTTTTATGCTGCACGCACGCACGCACAACGTGCATGGATCATGGCAGCTCTGGTTTGGTGGCTCACCGTGTTGGTGCGCGCAGGTGGTAAACAACCCCTTCTTCGAGAAGCACCTGCCGGAGATGAGGGCCGAGTTTTTGGATCACCCCAAGCCCGACTGGATCGACAAGGTGGAGCTCTACACCCAGACGGAGAGCTTCAACATCAACCTCCACGGCGCCCTCTACTACGCGCGTACCGACCAGCGCTGAAAACAGAGAGGGGGGGAAAGATAAACAGAAGAGGCCCCCGCCTTCTCTTTACCAAAACATTACAAGCCGCGCTGCTATTTATTTTTAAGATCTATTCTGGCTCATTGTTATGAGGCCTTTTTACTATTGGGTCAAGCTTTCCACTTCGGCCTTGCGGCTCACCCAGTTGGTCTTGGATGTCATTCCGCTAAAAAGCTCGACACCCAGCAGGCACCCAAAGCTCCAAACCAACAAACAGCCTTCAAACGTGCCCCAGCCCAACACCCAGACGCCACCAACAACAGCAGCCCTCTCTCGACAACACACCCAACAAGGTCCCGCTTCTCAACACCCGCAGACGCCACCACCTAGACGCCACATCAACACCCGCAGTGTACGACATCACCACGGTATGCAAAACGAAGTGTGGCGGCGACAGAAGGCGCATCTGGCCGACTTTGAGCTGGTGACAGTGGGCGAGCCCTACTTCTCCAGGCGCAGGAGGGGCTCGGCCGCCTACGCGACAGCCCCCACCCGCGGCTCGGCCAGGATTCAACCCACGGCCGCTGCGACACACATCGCCACGGGCGACCAGACCAACAATCAGGTGGTGGCGGTGCGGTGGTTCAACCGCCTGCGGCCGACACCCACCGCGCGAGCTCGGCCAGAGCGCACGGCCTGATCCCAGAGCCGGTGTAGGGGATTCCTCAACAAGCCTCGTGTGCCGATGTGTAAATGCAACAACCGGGACTTGTTTTTTTACTATCTTTTGGCCTATGGGGGGTGAACGGAGTTCTGGCCCGACGGTATGGCCATGACAAACCGTGGATAACCCGACAAGGCGGTTGGCGTGCACCGTTTGATTGGGGCTCATCCGACACTACTCGGCGACCAACCAAACCGGATGAGAATGCCTAGCGTTCCAGTCCATAAAAGGAAAGATAACCCAAAATACCTTACTTTGCAACAAGGCAACTCATTGGCCCATTTTTAAAGGTACACCAGCACTCAATCCTGTGGTGCTCATGGGCGTGGCAACCCTGAGAGTCCTTACTGAGAAGATCTGTCTCATTCACCAATCTCCTCTTCTCTGTTGGCAAACTCCTCTTTGCATGTACCAATGTGCAGTGCCATCAGCCCATCTGACACACACAGGCCAGAGAAGAGTGTGACTTGGAAGGGACTCTCTGACCACTCTGAGGCACAAAGCATATGGCTTGAGTCTCACTCATGCTATCTCTCTCTCTCTCATCTTCCTGACCATTTCCCTTACTTAGTCTGCATTCCTCTGTGTGCCTTCCAACTCCCAACCCAAGCACTTACAGCCCCCTTTAACTCCTTCCCTTTGCTTTTTCTCACTTGCAGTAACTTTTTTAGTACTTCCACTGTTGTGCTTGGTCTCAAGGAACCCAACAAGGTGAATGAAGACCATTGGCATCAGTGCAGTTGTGCAGGGATGTGATGAAGTTGATTCTGCTTGTGCCTACCTGTCAGTCACCACACACCACATGAACATTCTCCATGAGATTTCCACCCAAACAACAAAGGCACAAAGTGAGTGGTACAGCAAAGCGGAAAACACCTGCAGCATGCCCCCCGTGAGACAAGACACAAGGGCAAGCCACCTTCTACCATCCTCCTTTCCTTCTCCAGTGATGAAATACAGGGAAAATCTCCGCATGTGACCGCAGCAGCGATCCAGTTCTCATATTCAGTACTGCACCGCAGGTATGTTCTGTAACTGGCCACGTACGTACCCAGTTCACCCACCGATATAAAACGCTTCTCTATTCCTCATCATTCTCATCTTCTCCTCCTCATAACAACAGCTATAAAAGACACGCAGCAGACAGATCGTGATGAACAAGCACCTGGCGCTCTGTTCCGTAGCCGTCGTGGTGTTCCTGGTCGCGTTCCTGGGGCAGGCCAGGTGCCAGCCGCCGCGCCCTGAAGTGGTCGGATGGCTGAGCGGCGTCATCCCGTTCCACAAGGACGCCATCGCCACGTCGCTGGTGTGGAGAAGTGAGTCGATGTGCCCCAAGCTGCTCATGTGGATGCGGCCCTCCGAGTACCGGCCTAGGGACTACATCGCGCCCAGCATGTTCGGTGAGGGCTTCCCCGGCTTCAACCCCGCCTTCGAGACTCTCGTGATGGGCGGCTTCAATCTCGGCAGGCTGGACGAGAGCGGCTGGTCGCCGTATGGTCCGGACAACCTGCGCGAGAACACGCAGCTGGT